TACCACCTACTTCAGAGAGTTGCTAGGATAATTTGGTGAGATAACATACTTGAAATATTTTCTAAACTATAAAGGTGAATACAAATGTTACAAGGTTACTATGGTTATTATCAGATCTCGCACGCCATCTAGTGGCAACCTGGCAGATAACAAGTTCCCCAAGCACTTTAAAGCAGAGATAAATGGAAAGATGGGTTACAGCTGATGATACTTCGCAACTGCATCTTTACCAGAAGAATGGCACCCACAGACCTATTACAAGAGAACATCTAGTGAATCTATTACAGCTGCTGTTTCCAGTACCTATCATTGAGAACCTGTATCTTGTAAATAGCTGACAAGGGTTACAAAAGTGTAATTTAAGTCCTGTTCCTGCCACTAACAAACTCTGTAAATTTAGATTACAGAATGATCTTTGGGGTCTCCATGTATTCATTTATAATGAAGAAGTGGTAATACTTAGTAAGAGAACTGTTTTAGAATTAAATGAGATGGGTCCAAAGTGCTTAAAAACCGTAGGTTAAAAATAAAGCCCCCACATATGACAACTACCTCTTTGGATCAATGCTTGACGACATCGCATAGATGCTTCCAAAAAAGAAATATAATTGTAGTTCATCTTCTTGGTTCAAGTCAAAGGCAAACATATATTAAATAATGCCCATACCTTTAGGAGCCAATTGGACACAAAAATATCAATGTTTATATGACTTTAAGGTTTTATATGAATGAGGTTTATTAGTGAAGATCAACATAAGGATTAAACTCAGAGCTTCTGAGTCACACAATTTTTGGTGGACTCTTTCTGAGCTATCTGCTGCCTTTAATGCGTTTACCAAACTCAAGCTCCAAACTACAAAGCTCTCAAATACAAAAGAGATGTGATTTTTTTTGAATTGCCATTGAGACTAAATAATGTTCTTTTACTGTTCTATTATTTTAATTTTAATGCCATAATTTCACAAACTGGCGAAAAAACAAACTTGAATGTATTTGGTATGGCATTTTCTTCTTAAAATTAGAGAAACTATTCTTTGAAATGTGCTCGAGATTTAAAGAAAGCTAGAATTATTAGGATCTTTTCTTTTTGTTGGACTGGGATTTGAACTCAGGGCTTTTCACATGCACTTGAACCACCCCTAATGTTTTTTTTTTCTTATTGATTCTCGGGCACATTACCATTTTTTATATCACATATAGATATATAGCACTATTTTTAAAAAACAGTGCTAGCACTAGTGCTAAAAGTAGTTCTGTGGCTCAATGTATTGGAGCCACAGCACCACTTTTTGGTGGTTTGTGTTTTTGAGGGTTTGGGTTGTGGTTTTGGTTTTGGAGTTGCTTATTGGAGATAAAAGTTTCATGGGGACTCTTCTGGTTGGGCCAGCTTCAAACCCACGATCCTCAGATCTCAGCCTCCTGAGTAACTAGGATTAGCAGAAGGAGTCACCAGCTCCCAGCTTCTGTTATGTTTTAATTATTTCTCCCAACATCTTAGGAAGTACCCATGGCATGGCCTCCATTGGCAATTGAAGAGAGGGAAGCTAAGGAAAATGTACTTGCTTGAGTACTTGTTCAAGTATGTGTGTGACCTTTTCACAGAGAGCATACGACCTTTCCACATCAGAGCGAAGGAAACCTATCCACACCCATTCTGACCCACACATTTTAGAGTTGGTAGAAACTTCCAGTTGATTTCTGTAATTCTTTTCCTGTGTACATGTTGTTACCCTCTTGGTATATCACCAGTCATATCAGCAAAACCACTGGGGTTACATCTCAGCTCTGCTGTGCTATTATCCACTAAAAATTAATAACAAAAATTACTTCCTTAATTAATAGGCACAGGAGTTCCAAACTCACCGAAGAATTTTTATAATGCTTGTTCATCAAATTTCCAATAATTTAGCAACTACCTAATTAATTCCTAATTGATATTTTTGGGCCATTACTTCCACATTTGTATCGGCATACACCAAGAGGTACTGCCCTAGGTGTTTTTAGATTTTAAAAAATGCCCCCCCCCCAATGAAAAAGCAACAGCAAATTTCCTCTCAGCTCTACAAGTGGCCATTATCTTCTTTCAAAGAATGCTAAATTAGTAAAACATATTTTCAATTCTGTAAATCAACTACAAGTTGGAAAGGTCAAGCATAACACAAAGTAATAACCCAACATTCCTTGAAAAGTTAGTGCTTCCAGTTCATAATTTTAAGGTATTGAAATAAAAAACTTCAGCTGGGCATTAGTGGCTCACACCAGTAATGCTAGCTACTCAGGAAATTTGAGATCTGAGAATTGAAGTTCAAAGCCCGCACAGACAGGAAAGTCTGCAACACTCTTATCTCAACTAACCAGCCAAAAGCTAGAAGTGGAGCTGTGGTTCAAGGGGTAGAATGCTAGTCTTGAGCAAAAAAAGCTCAGGGACAGTGCCCGAGACCTGAGTTCAACCCCTAGGACCAGCGCGCACGCACACACACAGACACACACAGACACACACACACACACACTTTTTTCTTCTTTTTCCAAAAACACCTGAGAGGAAGTAATTGAAATACAAAATGTCTACTTATTACACCTTTGTATTCTAACTTCAGATTATTCCGTGGGTTTTGATACTCAAAGTAATCTCCATGCTTTCAATCAGGTAATAGAAGATGTGGATACTTCTTCATTGTCTTTAAAGATTGCTTCCTATGCCATTAATACATTCCTATTAAATTGAAGGGTTGCCAATATTTTGCTATCACTTACTTTTAATGAATAGTAATATGGGCCGGGCACCGGTGGCTCACGATTATAATCCTAGCTACTTAGGAGGCTGAGATCTGAGGATCACAGTTCAAAGCCAGCCTGGGCAGGAACATCCATGAGACTCCATGTATCTCCAATACACCACTAGAAAATCGGAAGTGGCGCTGTGGCTCAAGCGGTAGAGTGCTCGCCTTGAGCTGAAGAGCACAGGGACAGTGCGCAGGCCCAGAGTTCAAGCCCCACGACGGAACAAAAAAAGGAAAACAGAGTATCCTATGAATAGTAATATGCACACATTATTTTCTATTTCAACAAAAGGATTACATATCTGGACATTGGGTTATTAGAATTCAAGGGGTACATGATTTTTCTTCTTTGGCCTTCAAAAGGTAAATTCTCACAAGGTGTAACTGGGTCACAACAAAGACACACGAATGAGAACTCGTAGAAGACATGTGCATACAAGTGAAGATTTAAAAAAAAACCTGCATTATTTAAAAGTATCAGTCAAAATAACTGCAGGAAGAATGTTCTGAGAGAATCTTATCCTAAGTTCACATTCAACTAAAAAGTTTCTTTTTTGCCATGAATCTAAAGCAGCATAGGAAAACAAGAACATCAATATTGCCTAATTGTCAATATGACATTATCTATGGTATAACAAATATGCTGACAGTTTCTGTTTGTCTCAGACATATACTAGTTATTGCAAATAAGGGAAACCATGGGACCTATGTTTCTTTGGGCCTGGCTCACTTCACTTAATAGAATTTTTTCCAAGTCTTTCCATTTCCTAACAAATGGGGCAATGTCATTCTTTCTGATGGAGCCATAGAATTCCATTGTGTATATATACCACATTTTCTTGATCCATTCATCTACTGAGGGGCATCTAGCTTGGTTCCATATCTCAGCTATGGTAAATAATGCTGCAATAAACATAGTTGTGTTGGTAGCTTTAGTGTGGTCTTGTTTGTTGATGTTAGGCAAAATGAACCCCAAGATAAAGCTTCAAATGTGTTTTTTTCTTTCTTGCGGTTGTTTCCAACGTATTTAAAAGACGATTTGTTGCTTTGTATGTCCCTCCCCCAGGGTATAAGCCCTGCTTTCACTCTATCTGATGTTGATATACTTTGTGGAGGGGAAGGGAAAAAACCAACTGTTTAAATAGGGGTACAGGTGGACCCATTACAACAATGAGATGTACAAGACCGTTATGTTGAAAAATGAACTTTACAACTTTGGTGGGGGGGATTGGGGGCGGCAGGCGGTGTGGGGATGTGGAGGTGGAGAAGAAAGAGATGGGAAGGGGAAACAAAGGAGGAGGCAACAAAACTTGATAAGAAATGTACACATTATCTTGCCCATGTAATTGTAACCCCTCTCTACGGTATTTTCACAATAATAATAAAAAATATGCTCCATGGAACAGAATCTATCATTGTTCTATATTAACTTACTAAATTACTATAGAAATTATCTAACAACCAAAAGTTCTCCTTTAATATCATTTCCCTGTAACTTAAAAATGACTGCATGGGTGGTATCATTAAAAATAAGAATATAAAATTTTACCTCTGCAGTTCGATATCTAAACTTAAATTGAAAGTTAAATTTTTATGGATGATGCTTAAGCAAATTTGGAATTCCAAGACGTGGCATTTTATGCAATAGCATAAATTAAAACTATTACAAATGAACTCGGTTCCTTTTCCAATTCACTCACCATGACTTTATAAATCGTATACTGTATCTGTGTGTCTCTCTATACCCATGTTTTTACTACTATTGATAACTACCAGGTTTCAGATCAATCTTACTCTACCAGCATTCACCTCTGTGATTAATTATTAGCTAGGAGATAAGATTTGGAATATTAAACTGCCAAATACTTTCCTTGTATTAGGGAAAAATAAGAATATAACTATTTTTTCTTGCCCTAATGAGAAAATACTTACCTTTCACATTGCGAAAGGTTTCATCTGAATGTTCCTTCTTCGAAAATAATATTTTAAAGCATTTTTTTCTTTTACAATTATCTTCTAGATGGCTTTACATTTCTGGGATCTATTTTAAAATCACTGAAGGCATCAGTCTCAGGAATCACACTGTACCTCACACGGTTCTTGCGTGTGTAATACAAAACACTGAAGACATGGATGTCAGCCTCCACCATCCTGAGCTCACCAGTGAGAGCTAACGGAGTCGCATCACCGCGTGCGGCCCTGGTGTCCTTCCTCACTTACCAGAAGGGCGAAGATGCTGCTCCTCCAAAAATTCTAAATCGAGCATCAGGTCATCTTCATCCAGCTCGCACGACCCCAAGTTATTTAACACATCCTGAGGAAAAAGAAAAAAGCAGCCATTAAAAACAAAAGCACCAAAAAAAAAAAAACTGAGAAAAAGCATTTCTATATATGCACAAGCCATGAAGCCTAAAGAATGCAAAAGGAATATGTCATGAACGGATATTATAAATCATTTGACTCTCGTGATCACTAAAATTATCAGTCCAATAAATCCTTCCAAGAATTCCTCTAAAATCTCGCTTTCCAGTCCACAATTTGATTGGTATCAATTAATTGTATTTTTTTCATTTCACCTATCAATATGAGTCCAATGTGAATTAATCAGACTTTCCCAACACTCTCCCTCCTCTCCCTTTTCTTAACTTTCCCATTTGTCTTTTTAACAGATTTTGTCTATTCTAACTTCTAATATATAACCTGTAATATGATATATGTATATCGTATATATCATATCTCATATGTCATATGTAACATGAGATATATCTCATATTACAGGGTATATTAACCTATGATCATGTATATGTATATATGTATGCTCATAATATATAGAAGCATATATCCTACATAGGAGCAGGTATAGATAAAGGTATTATGATATAGGAAAATATTTCTATGTCTTAGAAATACACGTTTATTTTAGTCAATGCATGTCTATTTTAGTGAAAGCTTAAATAGCCATGAAAAAGGTTATTTAAAAGACACACAAAAGACTTCAATTTTCAAATACATCATGGTCTATCAATGAAATGTTAGTCTCTGTTTTTACAGCTTATATTACAAATTGAGCAAACTTATGATGCATTTAGGCAGCTGTTTCTCAAACTTTGTTTACAACTCCATGACACATTAACTTAAAATACATTTGAAAGTGGAGAACTAGTTACAATATCTTAGTTATTTGCTTTAGAGAAAGAGAAAAAAGAAAAATATGTTGAAAGAGGAATGAAGTCCTGAACATAGGTAGATGGTGGATGTATTAAGAAAAGGAAGAAATTACCTTTGAAGACTGAAAATCAAATGACCTAAGTAACCAAATTATCATTTAAAGAAAAACAACCTCAAAGTTAAATGATGCAATACTTCAGATAACCTTAAAAGTCTCTATCATACTCTCAAATGGACACTAAAACCCCTTCCTTCTTAGAATTAAAAGAACAGAGCTATGTCTAAACAAAAAGCTCTCAGTTTAACAGACAGACTTAAGCCTTATTAAAATTATAGAACAAGTGTGAACTAGGACTAAAACAAAACATTTGGGAAAGTAGCAGAAAGCTTCTTTCTAAAACTTCTTTCTCCCTAAATATGGCCAATCATTAAAATGCTAATGAAAAATGGCTGTTTATTGGAAGCTGTGTCTTATACTATGATTAGGCTAGTCCAGGCAAAGTGAGTTGTTCACCTACATATATAAAAAAGGTGTTATAAAATATAGGCAAAAAAGGATACATTATCATACCAAGAAATGCAAAATGATAAAATTACAAAATGATCAATATGATAACAGCAAAGGTAATTGCAACTAAATATGAAAAGGAGGAGTTTCTAAAAGGGAGTTTTTTTTTAAATCAAGTACTATATTTTGAATGTTTACCTCACAGAATCTAAATGAAAGACTATTCATCTAAAAGTTAAAAATAATTTGCCCATGTATGGCAAAAATAGAAAAATCACACATGTTACTCTAAAACTCTACAAATGTAACTATCACCCCTCTGTATATCACCTTAACAATAAAATAAAACAGATGGGCAAAGAAATAACATAAAATAAAAATAAAAAAGAAAGGGGTGGATTGATCAAGATGGCATGGAACTCAAGCTGGCATAATGAATTAAAATCCCTTTTACAACTACTTAAAGATAGCAAAAGTAAAATAGTTAAAATTAAAGAAATAAAATGTCATAGAATAAACAATAATGGACATGTGACAAAGAAAAAAAGAAAAGTGTCGAAATCATTTAAGGTAAATTGATACATGACATTGGGAAGTTTCATTGCGCATTGGAAACAATTTCTTAGACAAAATTCCAACTAGAATGTGAAGGTCACTGAAAATATCTGATCCAACCTTTTGGCATAGAAGATTTATGTAGGTATTTTAAGACATACAAAGTTTAACCTGCAAAGCTAATTACTAACTAATTTGTAAGATAAGTAAATTGGATATTAAGCCAAATATAAATATTAAGAATTCTCTAAGTAGGCATTTGAAAAAAAATCTTGTAGTAATACTTATTACTCGTGTAATCATTAATCTCCCAAGTGATTTGATATCAGAAGTTGTTGAAAATAAATGAAATAATTACTGATGAAATAATTCATATATTGTTTTAGCTCTAGGGACATACTAATGAATATAAGAAGCATGATTTCTTTGCTCATAAACCTTGGAGGTAACTGCATTTTAGTAAAGAAACTAATTGCTCTTTAAAATAAAGGATTATTATTTATGTCCGCCTCTTGTTTTTGATTAGTGAGAGCCAATCCTCCAGAGCCTCGTTTTTTTGTAGTGAAATAATAAAATTGATTTTTGAAAACAACAAAGTTGAAAGAAAGCTCTGAACACACCCGTGAGCTTCAACCATTCCATGAGGCCTGTTCTAATGTAAGTCACCATGCTGCTTTATCTTTTTCTGCAAATTAGATGGTCATTTAGAAGCCTGCCAAAAATAAAGGAAAATGAGACACGTCACTATACAGGATAGCATTGCTTTCAAGGCAATAAAGAATTCTATTATGCATTATTAAATTATCATTGCTCATTAACTGTTGCATTTCTCTACTGTCATAGCTTAGTCAATCGATTGTCTGTAATCAGGTCTAGAAGATAAAGGACAAGATGTGGCATGCTGGACCTTCACAGTTGCTTATGAAATATTCAATGGACACTATAATTACTCTGCCTTAATTCTACAAGTAAAATCCAGCCACACTGGGTAGAGTATTGGAAGATTCATATTCTAAGTTTCTATTCAGGTCCCAATACATTATCCTCATGGGTGAAATACACATCAAATGAATGGGTGAAAATAAACATAGAATCATGCCAAGGAAAGAAGCTAGTGTTTGACTCACTGTCCATACGTAGATTTTACTGGGACCACCTTACAAAGGCATGACTGAAGACAGCATGCATAGCAGATCTCAGCATCCATGGTGACTCCATTACTTCCTATAGTAAGATGGCCAGGTGTGAGCCGCTCCGATCTTCCGGCTTCCCTCATTCTGATCAAGACACATCTATCAAGTGTGACGCATGCCCTCCCCGGAACTAAGGGCAAAGCCAGTCCTCTTTCAAAAGACCCAAGTTTGTCCCCGTGTGTGTGCTGTTTCCACTGGGAGATAATCAAGGATATTTGTGCCTCAATGTAATAGAAAAAAAAAAGTTGTCTCCTTTTCTTATTTGTGACTTTGCCAGAGCTGACAGACAGTGGTGCAGGCCAGAGAAGGGTGGGTGTCCACAATGTAGAATAGCTTCTAGGTATGAGAAGACTAAGGGTGGACACATGTATCACTGACACTCATTAGACACGAGGTTGGAGATGAACTACACAATTTGTGGGGGGAAGGGGTTCAGGAGGGAAAATCTGGGAGAAGAGGAGGGAAGAGGTGACAGTGCTCAAAGTCATTACCTGACTTACGTAACTATAACCACACCGGACACCACCTTTACAATAGCAATGTTTTTGGGGGGCTGGGAAGGTGGCTCAGTGGTAGAGCGCTTGCCTTGCATGCATGAGGCCCTGGGTTCGATTCCTCAGTACCACATAAGCAGAAAAAGCTGTAAGTGGCCCTGTGGCTCAAGTGGTAGAGCACTAGCCTTGAGTTGAAGAGCTGAGGGACAGCGCCCAGGCCCAGAGTACAGGCTCCACGATGGACCCCTCCACCCCAAAAAAAACATATTTTTTCTAACTCACTGGGAAGTGGCACATTCATATTCATTTTTAGAAAATAACCCTGTCCACACAGTCTGGAGGCACTGTAAGGAAAATGCTTTCTATGCAGATCCTAGCTGGCATTGTTTTACATGTTTTATTTTCAATCATTCTGTGTATTTATTTTTTCTGGTCCTAGGGATTGAACTCAGTGCCTGGGCACTGTCCCTGAACCTCTTTGTGCTCAAGGCTAGTGCTCTGCCTCTTGAGCCACAACACCACTTTCAACTTTTTCTGAGTAGTTAATTGTAGATAAGAGTCTCATGGACTTTCCTGCCCAGGCTGGCTTTGAACTGCAATCCTCAGATCTCAGCCTCCTGAGTAGTTTAGGATTACAGGTATGAGTCATCAGTGCCCGGTTCTGTGTTTCTTTTTAAATTTACTTTTTAAAGAATCTTTAAGCAATTGTACAACAGAGTTAGCAAAGCAGTCCATGAATACAATGCATCTTGATCAATGTCACCCCTTCCACATTCTCACCCATCCCTCCTTTCACTCTTCTTAGCTCTGGAGGGTACACATTGGTTTCTTGGCTTCATTCTCTTCCTCTTCTCCTCTTCATTTGTCTACCACTTGCCCTTTAGCCCCAGCCCCACTCCCTTTCCAAGGTGTTGATTTTGTTGACCTTTGACTTTGTTTTATGGTTCTCAAAGTTTAGAGTTAAGGAAAACAATAGAGCTTGCCACAGGAGATAGCGGAACAAATATCTGAACGCGTATTTGCGGAAGAATAAAACGCTCCCCATTAAGCATTGCTTTACATACATACATGTATGCACGCATGGATATGTGCCCTTTGATGAACTTAAAGGAAAATCAGACACGAAAACAGCATCTTGCTAGATGTTTGAATGTACGTGAACATGAATAATTTTGAAATTGGCACAAGGGTGCTTCTATTTTTATTCATTTCTATGTACCCTAAACAAGTAGACTGTCCTGTACAGGGAAAGTAAATTTGATCACAGTATCTCTTGATATTCTCTTTTCCCCATCAATTATTCTTTTTGCATAGAAATGATACTTCACTATCCTATTTGATAATTATTTTAATCTAACCTTTCAGATTTCACTTGACATTTCTATCCATTTCCCCA